ATTGGAGCGAGTGAAGTCGATGGCCCCGCCGTTAGAGGAGAGCGCGGAGAGCGAGCGACACTCATAACCGCCGGATCAAAGGAGTATTGAGGGGTCACCGGGGTGGTGTTTTCGTCGGGGCGGGATCGGGCTTTTTTGGCAGCAGGTGTGGTACGCACCTCATATTGAGGACACAATCGGTTCCTCGAATTGTGCCCGAGCTGAAAGCAATTGCCACATCGACGTGCGGCTTTCGAAGTAGATGGAGCGGAGTTGACATTGGGAGCTCTTGACGGTGTGCCAAAGATCAAGGCATCAGGTGCCGGTAGAGGCACAGGCTTGTGCATTGAGATGAGGGAGAGGACACGCTCGCCATCCTCGGCGACACGATGCCAATGTGTTTCGCGAAGTAAATCAGCGGGTGTCGTAATTTTGTGAAAATGTGCGCAGTCGACAATTCGGTCTAAGACTTCGTCGGGCATGATGGATGCAGCGCCATGACTGCGAAAGCTGGCAGCGCTGATGACCTGGATGGTTCGCTCCTTGCGAAGGAGGTGCAGGTCGGCACGCAGGGAGCAGTCGTCCTTGTCTCGTACGTAATCGGCGAGACGGGAACGCGATGGCTGCTGTTTTGGTTTGGCAAGCGTAACTCGGGCAAAGTCAACAAAGTCGTCCGGGCTGCAGAGCTCGCAGCATAACGCCGGGGTTTCAACGACGCAACGGGGACAGCCGTTTGTAAAGCGTGGCTGACATTCCCGGTGATCTGAAGCTGTAAATTATGTCAGTTGTGATCGTACATGAATTCAGTTGTATCAGCTCACAGGTCTTGTCGTTCCCGAAGTAGATTGTCGCCGGAATCCGGGAGCAAGGTCGCTCTGGTTGGCGTGTAGCGGCATTGATCAAGTCGTCGAGGGCAGGCTCATGGCGGTCAGTACCCTTCTTTTTTGTCTTCTTCTTCCAGGTCGGCTCGTACGACGCTGTTACTGCCTCGTAAACAGCACGACGTCCCGCAGAATATTCCGCACGGCTGCCGTCAGGTACGGGGAGGACCGCATCGACCACAGCATCGGCAGAGCCATTGTCAACAGCGTGGTCCGAGTCGTCGACCAGCGCATCCGTGGCTGTGTGCGTGACTGGGGCTGAAATGGGAACATCGGGGGCCACGGGAGCCGCGACAGCAGCGCGCTTACTCGGTGAATGCTCGGCATCGGCGACTGCAAGTTCGCGCTTCTTGGTTGCTTCAGCGCGCTTGAGAGCTCGGGCTTCTGTTTTGGCAAGGTTGGCGTCAAACCGTTTCGGCTCGACAAGAAACAGGCCGGTCGCTGTGAGATGCAAAGCACGCGCGGCGCGGCCGAGGCGCTGCCATAGCGTGCACATGTCGCAGGTCGAGCGCCACTGGATTACGAGCAGGACGTCGGCGAGATCAAGGCCCTGTGAAAGAGATTAAATGGACCCACGAAGATCACAGAATTCACGTACCATCCCGAACGAGTCTGTGCAATTTAAACCCCACGACACCCCCGCTTTTAACGCGTCTGATTCACCGGCCTTGAACTCGGGTGACATTTCCGAGTTGAACCATTTGATTTTGTGCCGATATGCTAGTGGAAGACACGCACGCAGAAATTTTGCCGCCTCAACAGAGTCCGCGATGCTATCAAAGAAGATCAAGAATTTTGGGGGAGGCGGATCGCCGGGCGATCAGCCCTCGGGAATGAGAAACGTCAGGTCCTTGAAGCTCGACATGGAGTACTTCATCTCGCGCACGACGAGGTCAATATTCGGCCGGTCATTTGACCGACAAATTATCTCGACCTTCTTTGGGAAACCTGGAGAATGTTCATGACATCTGTCAGAACGGCGGGCGGCAGTGTAGCGGAGACAATGATAAAAGGAATATCGCGGGGAATAAGGTACCGGAGACGGCCGTTCCTTGTATTCCGGACGAAACCCCGCCCACTTGCTCACACAGTGGCCCTCATCCCAGACTATGCTGATGAGCCAGCGCGTGAACTCGGGCTTTTTCCAGAGTTTCTCGAAGCCCCTGTCCTGCTGCATCAACGTCTCAATGTTGGTCACGATCACGCGGTATTTGCCTTCTTCGATTTCCTTCGTGGCGTAGCATTAGGTTGACGCGACGTGACTGATGATTCCTTTGTATACACCCACCCGGAAGTTATCAGCATTGGCAGTTTCTGCCGTGATATTGATACCCTTCACCCCCACGTCGGCCAACTGCTTGACATTTTGTTCTCCGAGGATATTCAATGGGCTGATGACCAGCTGAATTCCCGTGGGGGCAGCCAGAAGGTGAGTGTTTTCTCCGAGCCCGTAGCCGCGATGCACACGACATCGCCGTCGCGCTTGAGGATGGTTTCGACGACTCGGATCTACCAGAGACACGGCTGATATCCAAGAATACTATTTGCCTTGGCACGTATTTCGAGACAGGTGTACTGCGGAGGACCAGAGGAGGATGCACAATGCGGGGGTGCCAGGTGCTTGCGGTAGGGCTGCCGCCCGTAACCGTCGCCACGGTTCCACGGCACCCGTGCCACGGGTGCCGTGCCCGTTCCGTCGAAGATTTTTTGAGCTCAACCACGGCACGGTTACGGCACGGGTCACAGCCTCCACGGGCCGTTGAAACACGGCCGTTACGGCCGTTGCACGGGTATATCATCTGGAAGTGCAATCACTGTTCTCTAGTGCTGAGATTCGGGAATTCCCATTCTCGTAGGCAATTGAGGCTCACCTTACTCTTCAGTGTCACGTTTCGCAGAGTTGAACAAAGTGGCGGGACCTTCCTGGTGTGATGCCGGAGTTTGAACTTTGTCAACACCATCTCGGTTTTACACACAGTAAGCTGATTCTTCGGCGCAAAACACTCGAGAGCACTTGGTCCAAAACTAAGCTCAATCTATGGAGCTTTCGGCATTCAAACAACTTCGTTCTGACTGTTGTGCACAACAATGTCGATCAACTTATTCTTTGGATTTATCAAGGCCATAGGACGCTTTCTTCCAACTTGCCTCAAGGTTTCTGCATCAAAAATTGGACATATAGAGGAATACCACACAGGCACTCAAAACGCACCCGTCGACACGGCCGTCACGGCCGTCCCGTTGACCGTGCCGTCCCGTTCATGATTTTTTGGTGATCTTAACGGCCGTGTATCCCACGGCCCGTGCCGTGGAACACCCGTGGATTCGACGGCCGTTGCCGTCACGGGCACGGGTGGCAGCCCTAGCTTGCGGGGTCCTCGTTGTGGCTATGTTGTTTATAGATGTTATATGCCAGCCGCCGTGGAGAGGTTCACCCCCAATTCAGTCACAAATTGTCACAAGGTAGTTTTCCGTTTTATTTCTTTTTATTCCTGTGCCCTAGGATACAGCATTAAAACTACCCTACTCTGTCTGGTGAAACTCATAACTGCGGCTGGGTAGGAGGCTGAGCAATTTCACGCTTTTCCGGGGCGAGAATTTAGCCATCGCTCATTTCCAGAACCATCCGAATAGACTCTGGATGGATCCACCAAGAAATCATTCAATCTCTAACAGCTTGGGCAATGGCAAATTTCTTGGGGGAGTCACAAACAAGTATCAACCCAATGAAGAGGGAGGAATTTAAAGCTTTTCCTGTGCCAAAATCCAGCAATCACTCGTTTCTGGGACCATCCGAATGGACTTCGCATAGATCCACCAAAACATCTTTGAAACACTAACCGATTGGTTACCGGTGAATTTATTTTCAGAACATCCAAAGGGACTTCAATCTTGTTTTGCCTGCACCAAAAGATTAATTGGAGGGTTGGGGTATTATGGAGGGAGTCAATAAGAAAAGAGGATGGAGGGAGAGTGAACGGTCATTCAAATCAGAGCGGAGGAAAAACATATCTTTATAAAATTATGCTTCTGTCTGTCTGAAGCCATTTTAAACTCTGCTGGTCGGTTGACTGTGCTGCGATCCGATATTAACCCGTCTCTTTAAACTGCGCTATCAGCGCTCCGGCACCACTTGCCGGAACATGCCCTAAACTTTACTTTAATGACTTGACAATTTGTTTATTGCTTGCTGGGATTCCAGGCCTATGTGGGGCCACGCCACATCACATCCTTCTCGGGAGAATAACGCCACGATGTATCATGGCCTCTCGCGAGAAAAGCGCCACGATACATCGCCCAGAGGCAAATCGTTTTAGGTAGTAGGTCCGGTACCCGCCTATGCGCTCGCTGGCCCCGCGCCAGCGGGCGGCGGGTGGCGGTGCTATCCCGCCCTGCCTTTTTGGGCAGTCGTCCGCTACGCTCCTGGGCTATATTCTGCCCAGCAGTTCCCTTGACCAATACATACCGTCCCTTTTACACATGTTTACAAGGGCAGGCCCTCAGTGGGGCATTCGCAACGGTCTTTGCAAACCGCACCATATCAGGCGCAGCGCATGGTTTGCATGTGTTAGGTATCGGGTCTTTCGCCTCCTGTCCGGGTTGCTCCGTGGGCGTCGGCACGCACTCCGAGCGGGCCGCGGGCCGCATGATCTGCATGTGTTAGGTATCGGGGCTTTCGCCTCCTGTCGGGGTTACTCCGTGAGCGTCGGCACGCACTCCGAGCGGGCTCCCTGTACCACCAATCCACCGGTGCGACGCCCTACTGGTACACTCACTTATGTACCCCCCCCCCCCTTTCCACTCTTCCCGCTCTTCCCCATGCCTTCCGCCCCCTGGTGACCCGTCTCGCCTTCATCTGAATCATATCAGGCCTCTACTTATATATGTTAGATCAAGTCCAGTTTGGTCAAATGGTTAAGTCTCATGTCTCCATGCGATCCGTCTTGTGTTCGCAATTTTTTTGGCGCGCCTTTTGTGCGCCTCAGTTCCCTTAAGTCCACGCCGATTTTCACTCAAGTCACACTCAATTAAATTAACCCACCTCAAATTGAATCCAGGTCACGTCCAATCCGCAAAGCCCAAACACAAAAATTTAACTAGGAGTCACCTCGACCAAAAAGATTTTTGGGACAAAATCGACGACACAGTTGGGAATCGAACCCAGCATCTCCAGGGAAATCACTTTCGGCACGGAGAAAGCACCTAGTAGTCTTACCACTAAACTAATGTGTCCACACTGTGACTTTCGGTTCGTGGGCTAGTCCAGCTCTAGCCTAGCTTTTTCCCCAATTTTCTTTCCTTTTTACCAAGTCCCGTCTTCAAGACGCTTTATCAGAAATTCCCCTGTTTTCAAGTCAATCACACATTCAAGGTCAGTCACTCAAGTACAATCACAGGCATGAATTAAATTTCGCGAGACAAGTAAAATAGTAACTACGACGAAAACTACGACCTACGAGCGGGCCAACCAATAGAAGCAATGAATCTTCAAGGGCAGCAGGTGAGCGCCGAGAGACGTCCCATGCTGGTTGAGCAGCCTACTTGCGGGCCTTTCTAGCACCCTCGTGAGCACGGATCCGATAAGTAAGCCACATCAACTTACTTCGCGGGTTTTTCCATGGAGGCATTATCCGCAGCCTTGCGTTTCGTCCCTCGAGTCGTGCGCCCGCTCCCTCCCGCGTCCTTGCCTTTCGACCCTCGCAGCCTCTCCAACATACGAGCATCTTCGCTCTCCTGTGCGGCGTTCGCAGACCCCGCCTGCACCCTCTTGCCGAGCAAGGACACACCACTCATGTCGCCGCGCGTCCTGGTCACCGGGTATACGATTGGGGTGCCGTCCGGGTTATTCAGGGCGGTGATGGCGCGCCGTGGGCGCGTGACGATGTGAGTGACCGGAGCCGCTGGAGTGTCCACTGCCGCCGCCCGTCGACTCTCCTCCTCGGCCGCACGAGTAGCCTCCTCCTCGATCTCCCTACTGCGTTGCAGGTTGGCATCCCGAACTGCGCGCAGCTCCTTCTCGACCAGACGGATGCGAGCGGACTCAGCCCGCGCTGCCGCTCCGGTGAGGCGCGGTAAGGCATCGGGTGCGGGCGGGGGCGGGAGAGGCCCTGTCTGGGAGGTGGTGGTAGCGCTGCTCCGTGTTGCGCGCGGCGGCGCTGGACTCTTGGCACCTGCGGTCGTGCTCGCCGCGACTTTGCGAGCCCTACCCCGCTTTGTGGGCGGCGCCTGCGCATCAACGGAAGACGCGGCGGCGCTCTTCTTCCCTTTGGCAGGAGCGAGGGGGTGACCCGACGGAGGGCGAGCCATGGGGCGAGAAACCGGGTACTGAGGAACCGGCGCCTCAGGTCCGTGCGCGGCCAGCGGCGCGACGGGTGTGGGTGTGGTCGAGGTGCGCGGGGTCGACTCAGTCGATGCCGGGGGCGAGTTGGGCGCGCTCGGCCGCGGCGCAAACTCTGCGGTGGTGGACTGCGGGGCTGACCGAGTTAACGCCGCGGGGACGTTGGGCGCGTTCCGCTCCAGCTCCTCTAAACTCGCTCTCGATGCGGCGAGGGCAGTTTGGGCCTCCGCTACCGTATTGCGCAGCCTCTGCAATGCTGGTGAGTTGGTGGGGGGCCGCACATGTAAGATGGGGGCAAATGGCGAGGTTCCAGGAACCGACGTTGGGTTGGCAACGCTGTTGATCGGGCCCTCAAGCGGCGTGCCGAGTGGCGCGGACGTGGCAAATGTCGCCTTCGGCGTAAAGGCCTGGATAAGGGGGCTCGGGGGAGGGAAAGACGTCGGTCGTGAGAGGCAGTTCGACGGTAGGCGCGCATTAGCGGGGAAGGGGTAGTCGTTGGCCGGGAACCGGTATTCACCCACATCGAATGTCGACCATCTGCCTGGGCTACCACCCACCTGGCGGTCCGGCTCGAATTGTGCGCCTCGATGGATTGCGCGTGGACCTGGCCGCGCGATCTGGACCGGCTCGGGCATCGGCGGCGTGTCGTCCATAGAATGGGAGGCGCCGGTGCCGTTCCACCCACTCACGTACACGTCGGTATCTGCGTTGGTGAGGAAGAAGTCGGATCCGCCGTAGTCCGACAGTATGTCGTTCATGGTGTTGTCAAAATCTTCGGGTAAAGTAAGGGTTGGGGTCTCAGGAGTAGTCGGCGTTGACGGGGGTACCACAGCGTTCTCCGTCGCGGGAGGCGCTGGAGCAGTCGGGGGAGGCGCTGGAGCAGGCACCACTGGGGCTTGCACGACTTTTTTGTGTCGCATGCGCTTAGGCGCGCTGCTCGTCACTTTAGTGGCGGTCGGCGTGGGCGTGTTGGTGGTGGTTTCCGCAGGCTCAGGAGACGACTCGAGACGAATCATCCCCTCCAGATTAGGCGGCGCATCCGGAGAGACCAGAGCCCTCTGATCACGAACCTCGTGCGCTACCAAAACAGACTCAATTCGAATTACTTCCGCTGTCCATGAACCACTCACGGAATGCTTGCTTCAAGAAGGCTGCAAAGCCACTCTTGAGGTCCGCGAAGTCGGGATAGCTCGCCGCAAAGTCGATACCGAGTGGGGTCGCACCAAAAGAGAAGCTAGAATGACAAGATCAGATTGTGTTTGTGTACGTAGTTGCCCACGGGCCACAACTCGAAATGGCAACTAACGTACGTTTTCATCGTCACCGCGCCAATACGCTTTGGATTCGGTCCACCCACCAGGAAGAGTCCTTTCCACCCCGCCTCAGCCTCTATCGCCGCCGCCACCAGCTGCAGGACGGCTCCGAGTTGGTCGATTGAACTGGAATAAAAAATCAAAACCAAAATCTTTGGCTAGGCAACTCAAACTTACTGCTGGTATTGCTCGGGGGTGCGCTCCGTGTCACCGAGCCCGTCGTCCTCCGAAACGCGGCCGGCATTCAGCTCGTCCTTCGCCGCCTCAACTTCGGCCAGGACCTCGTCACTTTCCGCGGCAAATAGCTCCATGGCCGCGTTGCGAAGTAAACTCATCCGCGCAGCGCGATGGGCTTTGATACGTTCCACAGCGGCGAGCTCGCGCTGCGCGGCCTCGTCCGGTGTGAGGATGGTCAAATCATCCTCATCCGCGACGCGCTCCGCTTCCGCCTCCTCGTTCAAGCGTGCGTACCCTCGGGTGTCCATCAACGCTCGAATCTTGGCGCGATACAACTTTTGATACACCTCGATGGCGCGATATTGACGAGTCGGCTTTTGAACCTGGATGGCCTTGAACAGGGACGAGTTCTTGGTCACGGTCCCCGCCGGCGTCCCCTTCTCTTTTGCACGATAGCGCATCCACGCCCTCAAACGCTACCAAACAAAAATCTCAGAGGATGTTTTTTCGCGCCTCCTAACTGCACTTACCGCCTTCGTATTCACGGTTGCCTTCCGAATCGCTTCTACGTCGTCGTCGCTCAGAGGGGGGCCTCCTGGGACAGCGGGGGTGATACCTAACTCTGCCTCCGCCGGAAAGCGCGTGAACCAGCCACTGTCTAGCCCCACGAAGAACCTGGTGACGAGGGCGGTTTTTTTGGCGGCGTGGACCTCGCGGTACTGAGATAACATGCCGACGAGGTATTCCTTCTGGGCCGGAGCAGCCCATTCAATGGCGGGCATGATCTGGAGAGCGAGGATAGACCGAGGATTTTTTGTTGAGCGTGGAGGAACAAAGGCAAGCGAATTTTTCGAGAGAGGGAAAATTGAAAGTACAAGTAAGCACTCCGCTTGCCCCTGAATGAATAAATTTCCTTTTTGTGTCATCCAACATTTGTGCTGATTATCGAGTTGCAGCGCAACGTAACTAGATACATTTTTTCGCCGCTTCTCGCCAGGCCGGCGCTTCAAATGATACCTGCGCTACTCGGGTTCCTCATACCCGCGCCCCATTCGTTCCTCATACGTTAACAATTACCCTCCCAGGTTAATTCAAATCACTTGCACCCCCTCGTTATAATCAGTTTGTTTCATCCCATCTTTGCGCTGATTATCACAACGCGATTAGGTACAAATATTTTTTCGCTGGACCAAGCCCGCTCCCCATGTTCCCTGCACGCCGTCCCATCGGTTCCTCGCTATTACGCGCGCGGGCGCTCGTTATAACGCATCCACGTCCGCAGTCGCTAGCCGAGCACGGACCATCTCAGTGATAATACTGGCAGGTGCACGGGACATACCAATTTCAGTTGGACAGTAGCCCGATCGAGGGCCGCCTGGTTCCCTTGCAACCGCCGGTCGGCGTCCTCCAGAGGCCAGACAGTAAGCCATGTGTGAGCAAGCTCGATGAAGAATCGACGCGTCTTCTCGGGACCGTCCGTCTTGGCCTCCAAATAAAGCAACAGCATGTTCTCGAGGTATTCCTTCTGCGTATGAGTATACCAACGGGTGCGGGGCATTTTTGGTACAGAGCAGGGGATCAATGTAAGCAACCCTCTTTTCACTTATCCGTGTTGCGTTGCTCATACGCGCGGAGTTTCTCCTTTCCGTGTTCCTCAGCCGCGTTATGGGCGGCTCCTCATCCGTGTTGCGTTGCTCATACATGCAGCACGTCAGGGTCGATCCAGACGCCCGCCCCATTTGTTCCTCAGCCGTGTTAGGGGCAATTCCTCATCCCCGTTGCGTTGCTCATACGTGCGGCACGTCAGGGTCGTTCAGACGCGCGTCCCGATTGTTCCTCAGCCGCGTTATGGGCGGATCCTCATCCGCGTTGCGTTACTCATACGCGCGGCGGCGCGTCAGGGTCGTTCCATATCAACTGCCAAGGTCTAGTTCTTTTTCAATTGATCTGGTATTTGTCGATCAATTCACCGCGTCACATATCTCGGTCCCCAACCAATCCAACTCACAGTAGGCGTTCTTCCCTCCCCTCACCATGCCACAAGCCTTCCCAATTAATGTTTTCGTCGACCCCAACGCTCCCCTCCTGCTCGCCCCTCCTCAGGAACTCACCGCTCGCCAACAGTTCTTGCATGTCATCACGAAGGTGGACCGTCTCCTGAGCAGCGTCCAGCAGCTGTCTCGCGAGATGGACAATATTCGGAGTATGTGTAGCAACTTTGAAATTCCGCCCGTCTAAGTAATTAACCCTTTTCCCTAGCCGAACTTTGCGAGCTTCAAAGTAAGCCATGAGTTACCTACCGCCTTCCATTCCCTAACCCGACCTCCGTAGCTCAACTCCCACCAATCCTCGACCGCCTCTGCGAGGAGGAAACCCAAGACCGTAAGTCCCTACTACCTTTGAAC